GGGGTGTGGAGGGGCTGGGGGACACTGGGCTGGGGGATTTGGGGGGCTGGGACCCCGGGTTGGGGGGTCAGGAGGGGCTGGGACCCCGGGGTGAAGGGTCCAGGGTGTTTGGGACCCCAGGGTGAGGGGTGGGGGGGTCCCGAGGACTTTGGGGTGCAGGACCAGGGTGGCGGGGACCAAGGACAGGGGGACAGCAGGGACCCCGGAGCGTGGGGTGGGGGTGACAGGGACCCCCGGGGGGCGGGGTCGGGGGATCCTGGGACCCCCAGGGTGCGGATCTGGGGGTTCTGGGACCCCCGGGGTGCGGGGTCTGGGGGTTCTGAGACCCCCAGGGTGCGGGTCGGGGGGTTCTGGGACCCCCGGGGTGCGGGGTCGGGGGGTTCTGGGACCCCCGGGGTGCGGGACGCGGTTGGAGCTCAGAGTCCCGGGCCCCCCGTGTGGGACCCCCCGGTGTCCCCTCGATGTCCCCCCGTGTCCCCCCCCCCCAATAAAGGGTCCCTTCCAGCCGTTCGTGTTTTGCCGGGCCGGGGGGGGCGGTGCCGGTCCCGGGGCGGTCCCGGGGCGGTCCCGGTGTCCTCTTGACTCGCCCCCGTCACATGATCCGGAGCCCTCGGGAAGGGCGGCGGTGAGCGGCACCGGGAGCGGCACCGGCACCGGCGCCGGACCGGGTGGGGACCGGGAGCGGGGGGAACCGGGGAGGGAACAGCACCGGGACCACCGGGACTGGGGGGAAACGGCACCGGGACCGCGGGGAACCGGGGAAAGTTGTACCGGAGTGGGGGAAAGTGGTACCGGGAGTGGGGAGGGAACGGCACCGGGAACGGGGCAGGGGGAGAGCAGCCCCGGGAACTCCGGGACCACCGGGACCGGGAGCTGGGAGGGAGCGGTACCGGGAGCACCGGGAGAGGGGAGGGAGCGGTACCGGGAGCGGGGGGAATGAGGGAGCGGTACCGGGAGCGGCACCGGGACACCAGGCCGGGCTGGAGCGGTGCCGGTAACAGGCACCGGTTCCGGTACCGGTTCCGGTGCCGGGGCGGGGCCCGGGCCGGCGGTTCCCCGGTCGAGGGGAGCGGTACCGGCCCGGGCCCGGTGCTGAACGGCGGCTCCGCAGGACGGAGGGGCCATGGCGATCGAGGGGGGGATGAAATGCGTGAAGTTTTTGGTTTTCTTCTTCAACTTCATCTTCTGGGTGAGTGCGCGGCAGAACCGGGGGGACCCCCCCGGCCACCCCCTCCCCTCCCCTCCCCCCCGCCTCCCGCACCCCAAATTTTGGGGTTCTGGGCAGCGGGGGGGTCCCCGGTGCTGAGGGGGGAGGGGGGGGTTTGTTGTCCCTGAAGCCACATCCTGTCCCCAGCAGGGCCCGGGGAGGGGGGCAGGGGACCCCAAAGGCGAGGGGGGGACAGGGGGGGACCCCCGAGAGCGGCGGGA